TGTCTGGCCCTTGGGCCTCAGTTTGGAGACCCCTGGTCTATATTAAACCTTTTTAGTTTTGGACAGACTGGGGAAGGGTTTGACCCTTTGTCAGGGATTTGTGCCCATCAGGTAGCTATTCCCTTTTTCCCTGTGTTGTCACCATAATAAGACCTAAAAATATAGAATGGTAAAGAGAGAGAACCTTTTCCAGGCTGGGTCAGTCCTCACTGGGGACAGCTCACTACCTGCGTGGTCACCTTAAAGTAACAGCTCATGCCCACAGACATGAGTAATTTACTCAAAAATATGCTGGATCTTGCTGCTAGAAGCTGACAGGAAAAATCCTGTGTAAAAAAAATGCATGTAGTAGGGCATAAGTACTCATGTTATAGATGTAAACATACACACAGCATTTACAAATGTAAGAACCCCCCTTTTCTTTTCTTTTTTTTTAAGCAACTAGACTGGATAATGCATGTATGCATATACACACATTCTGGGCAATTCAAATTGTGAAGGTGATAAAAATGTACAGCATTAGCATCAATGAAAACGGCAGGTCCATATAGTCAGTGGGTCCAGAGATACATGTAGATACCTAAAACTTGAGCTGTGCCCTGCCCATGCCCATTCACTGAACCTCCTCATTGGTTCCTTGATGTGATGGGAGGCTCAGGACTTAAGAGGGGGTGGAGTCAAGGTCAGACTTTACAGGAAAGGTCAAGAGTTCCATATGGATATAGATCAGTGTTTCAACTGGTTGGTGTGCAGTGAAGTCACTGCTTATGCATGTGTTCATCGTATATTCAGATGCATTATCCAAGTCTGGAATGGGTTTACTTTAAAGCAGGTCTATTAAAAAAAATATATATATATGTATTGGAGGTATGTATTAATTAAAATGTTATTAAATTTTACTTTAAAATCCAACACTCTGAGTACCCAAATATTTTTAGATTTGGTTCCTGTAATCTCTTGTGCAAGAGAACTCTGAATGGATGAAAAAGAATCTTTACTATGATACAGTGATGCTCTGTTTTATTGCACAGGGTTGTGCAAATTGCGCAAATTCTGATGCAATTTGGACCACACAGATTCGCAGGATGGGCTGCAGAGCCTGTTCACATACATGCGGTCCAGCCAAAGTGCGATTTTGAAAGCTGTCCTGTGCGATTTTTCCTTGCGGCGCAGGTGCCATTTCCAGCCCTGACTTCACTTTATCAATTTACATCGGAATCACACCTGCAATGCATGAACAAAAATCACACTGCACCAGCCATCAAAATCACACCACAACCCAGCCTGCATATATGAGATCCCCGGCTAAGACTGAATACAGGAGGGGAAAACAGACAGTTGACCTTATTAGTGTGCTTCTGCTCTTATATTATCCAATGAGATGGCTGGATACATATATTTCCTCTGGGACTTTCAAGGCAAAATCTGTCCAATAAGCAGGCTGGAGGTGAGTCCTTGACCAAGCTTTGCCTATTATTTATTTCAGGTACTTATATAGTGCTGTTAATTTACGCAGCGCTTTACATATATATATATTGTACATTCACATCAGTCCCTAACCCTCAAGGGGTGTACAATCTAAGGTCCCTAACTCACATTCATATCTACACATACTAGGGCCAATTTAGACAGGAGTCAATTAACCTACCAGCATGTCTTTGGAGAGTGGGAGCAAACCAGAGTACCTGGAGGAAACCCACGCAGGCACAGGGAGAACATGCAAACTCCAGGCATGTGATGCCGTGGTTGGGATTTGAACCAACGACCCTAGTACTTCCAGGCGGAAGTGCTAACCATTTAGCCCCTCTGCTTATTTAAAATAACTGGAGAATGACTTCCTGGCTGTACTGTTCAACTGGGGTCCCTTGCTGGAAACACAGGCTTAACAATTAAACATGTTTTGACAGATACAAAAAAATGTATATTTATGTTTTCAGTTTGTTAGCTGTTTGCCCAGGGTTCAACTTTTAAGTTACCATGTAATACAAAATTCTCTGAGGGTTTCGTAATATTTAATATTAGTGCCCATATATTGAGCTGCCAACTTCATGCAGATTTCAGAAGCATGAATCAGAAAGCTTAGAGTTTGAGTTAAACCCTTTACTGTCTAAGTTATGGAATTAAAATGCTGGTTTTTGAGACCTTCCATGTTCCTTCCCAGGAATTATACAATTATGTTTAATTAGAAAGCAAAGAAGCAAAAATATTTTTCCACTGCTGATTACTCAGTCATACTGGCATACATGTAAACTCACATTAACTCCAAAGTACAGTTTTGAGCTGACAGTGCTTGTCCTTATGTGCCTCTGTGAAAGTTATAAATCAGTGAGTGGCCATTTTTGGATGGATCTAAATTTTTCCTTTCTCTATGGGGGATACCAATGGCCTCTAGTGCCAGTGTAGGAATATGTGAGAGGGCTTAGTTGCACATGTGAAAAACAGTGATATGAAAAAGTCTCATGGAGCAAATGTACTCTGCTTCCTATTGAAGGATAGTGAATAAAACACAGGGCAAAAGAAATGTGCTTATTAATTCTGATGCCAGAATGGAAATAGCAGCATGGATTTAAAGCATGAATCCAACCCCATATGTGTGTGTGTGTGTGTGTGTGTGCGTGTGTGTGTGTGTGCGTGTGTGTGTGAACCTATATCAGGTTTTTGGTGCTATCCATTTCTGATGTGAAGTTTTCCCCTCAATATCTGCCAGGGCAGAAAGTAATGGGATAGGTTTCTATTACACACACACATAGTACAGTGACAAAAGGTCACTTCTCTTATTTTTTTTTCATTTCTGTCTGTACCTTCATGTCCTGATGTTTTATTTTTATGGGTGTCTCAGGGACAGGACGTTAGGTAAATCTGCCCAGTAGTGTCACAGTCAAAGCTAGGTGGGTTGACAAGGATCTTGCTGTCTGAGAACTGGTCCCCGAGATGGCCCATGTTCCCCCTAACGTCATTGGATCTTGAAGACCAAGTAAACTACTAATCTATCTTGTATGTAGTTGGATTTGTTGACATGTTGCATACCCCTTTGTGACTTGGGTCTTATTTTATTGTTGGTGACCAGGTAACAAGCACATGGATATAGAATTTGATTGGCTGGGAGATTTTAAAGATGGAAAACTCTATCTCCAGGCACTGATGTCTTTGACGATGATACCAACCTTGTACAGCAGGTAACATAAGAAAAAAAAAAAAACAGATGGGCCCCAAGATCTCACAAAAGGGATTTTCTGTTGGGGGGCAAGAGGGTCACTATTCACATATATGTGCATATTTTAAATTCTGAAAAAATAGGGCAGAAATCTTTTTAATCAAAAAGCAAGTAACACATTCAGATTTACTAGATTAGCATAAATTATTACTGATTTAGTGAATAAAATGTGCATAGCAATGGAATGTTTTCTGGGAAGTGTATTATGATTATTATTATTATATAGGATTTATATATCCATTTATATTTATATATCCATTTCTATAGCTCCAACAGTTTACGCAGCGCTCTAAGTGTATGCGGAATCCTATCCAGCATTGCAATTTATTTCAGATTATGGATTTTGTAATAGAAGTACCATATCTAAAATAATGATATTTGCATGACATAGAGAAAGATAATGAGCATGATTTTTATATGTGGCTATAGCCCTTCTCTGTCACATCTGTGTTCGTGTGTTTTTAAAATATATATATATATATATATATATATATAAAAATCATAAAATGCGTGAATTACAATTCCCTATCCTATAGTGATACAAGCAAACATTTAGACAAATCAAACATTTTCCAGTCGCTCATTCTCCTGATTTGATCTTCGCTATAAATATACAAATACATACATATACATGCCAAAGTTATATTACTGCACATGAAAATCCCCAATACTAATGGTTCAACACTAACTGGAAAATCTACAAACTGAAAAATATGTGATTCTTCTTTTCTTTTTTTTTTTACAAAAATAAAACTCTGACTTGGTAATTAAGCATTCTTGTGATTAATCAAACCCATGAGACAGCATGAACAGTTTACAATCAGCCATTCAGCTCACACAAACAAGTTGTTAAATACCACTGACAATTTTACCTTTGAAAAATATTTTCTTTTTTTATTATTTACAACAGCAAAAAAATAGGTATTCTGCTCAGTTTGCTGAAAATATCAATTAAGAAACCACTCATTATAGAAGACTAGAAAGGGTACAATTTGTTGAAGGTGGACCCACCCCATAGGAAATCAGCATGGTAATATATATCAACACCCTGCTTCTAATTTACTGACCATTTTATGAGCCTGAAGCTGGCTACAGAATTGTTTCCCTGATGCATTAACATAATAAAATAAAAATTTAAAAAAAACTTGATCTTACCAAACATGAATTTTGGCTTAGGAGACAATGCTGTTTCTGGGAGACTGTCCACGACCACTATTTTATTATTCTATACATATATATTTATATTGATTGCACATAATATAATCTGAGTCCAAAAAAGTAGCTCACAGTGCACAAAAATCTTAATAATGACCACATATTAAGATGTAAAATATTTACTGCATTTGTTGTTGGAACATTTTTTAATTCTGTGTTTATATCGCTATGCAAAATGTTTTAAAAAAAAAACTTGCTCAAGCATATAAGTGTGTATGAAAAGTATATAAAAAATAAGATCCCTGAGACAGTGAAAATATATAAACGGTCCAACCTATTATATTGTTATATACATTCTTTGGTTCTTTACATATAGATCCATTGAAGGCAGTTTATAATTTGCAGACTTCTCACGCAAACACATGGTAATCATTTGTGCACAATTCTGTCTTCACAAAAGAAAAAAAAAATCCTACAATTGTCCATAGAAATAGATTTTTTTAATTGCACATACTGTAAGTTTGTCTGTCCTTTCCTACCCAGCCTTAAGAGGAGTGCTCAGTTATTAAATTCCATTTGTCTATGATTCTGTAGGACGGTTACAGTGCATTCAGGGTAATTAAGGCAACTTTTAAGGATTCAGTTCTAAGGCCCAGACCTGTTGTGGCCACCCTGTCCGACCCTTCAGCTTCTTCTCTCCTGCTGGACTATTACCCCAGAATCCTTCACTCTGCAGAAAAAAAAAAAAAGAATTTATTTGAAAAGATACTTAATAAAAAATAAACAGAAAATAAAATTAGGGAAAATATTTGAAAAGCAATCTTGGGAAATATTTAATGAATGATTTTCTTCAAAGTCTATTTTAGTAAAAAGAAATCATTAAAAATTCATACTTAAATGTAACTTTCATGAGATATTTACAGGAATAATAAACATACTCTTCATGGGCTTGTCTGCTGTTAGTGTTATGTATAATATTTATGGTAAATAAAAAAGAAAGCAGAGTGAATTACTCATCAGTCTGTGTATAATACAACATAAACTGACCAAGTTTTAAAATAAGATTTTAAATATTTTAAATAAGAATCCCTCTTGAGAATCTGGATTTGAGGTTTATCTCAAGGACTGTGAACTTTCCCACACAAGAGCAATATTTTACCCCAACACCAAATGCAGAATGAATGTGTTTACAGTGTTGTAAGGCTGTAGAACAGTATTGTAACAGTCCTACTTATTTCTCAAAAGAATGTCTTCAACGGAGCAGTCGTTACATTAAAAAAAAATATATAGCAAATTTTTATCACATGCTTTTATTGATAAGGAATTAAAGCACAGTATTTATATAAAAAAAATTAGGGGGGTCTATATATAAATGTATATAAAAGATTCACACAAATTTAAACTAAGATTTCACATATTTTTTCCAGTTAAATATAGTTATACAAATGTGTGAATCTTGGTTACAAACATCTATAAATAGACCTCTATGTTTATTAAATACAATTACACAGGACTGGTGCATTTCTTATTTTAAGGTAAAACGTCCCCTTTTATGTAAATTAAGTAAGCTTTATTAGATGTCAATTACTAAGTTAAGAGAGAACAAAAGATAAAAGCAAGGAGAAAAAAAGAAAAAGGATAAAAAAGAAATGCACCAGTCCTGTGTAAAGCATCGAACCAAATTATGAGGTTAAACAATAGGGAGGGAAAAAGAAAGAAAGAAAGAGAAAGAAAAAGGAAGGAAAGAAAGAAAGAAAGAAAGAAAGAAAGAAAGAAAGAAAGAAAGAAAAGAAAGAAAGAAAGAAAGAAAGAAAGAAAGAAAGAAAGAAAGAAAGAAAGAAAAGAAAGAAAGAAAGAATAATACAATATATCTTTGCTTTCTGTACTCACCCCTTCTCTTTTCCTTTTACAGTCTCTGCTGTCTACTTTCTTCAGCTCAGCCTTAAACCCCTCAGTGCCCCCAGGATCACTATCCTTGGCCAGAACGTCCATCAAGTAGCCAATGTAGCTAGTGGCCAGCCTGAGGGTCTTGATTTTTGAGAGTTTGGTGTCGGCTGGCACATTTGGGATACATTCTCTAAGTTCTGCAAAGGCACTGTTAATACTTTCTGTCCTTCTCCTCTCCTTTTTAGGGGGGACTCCCTTCCTCCTGCTCAGCCTACCAGTCAGGGCCTCCAGGCGGTTGCCGGTCTGGGATGGGCCTACAGTGCCGTATTCAGGGCTGTAGGAAGGCTGGGTAGCAAATTCTGGTGACACTTCTCCTGGGTTGAGGACCCATCCCTGGAAGTAAGGTCTTTCCTGATGACATCTGGAGGTGGGAGTAAAGATAAAAGGTTCTGGCAT